CCCGCCCCCCCCCCACCTCCTTCCTTCCCGTTAGCGTTTGCTGCCAGGCAAAATTAAAACCCAAACTGTATCTCCTGAGAGTAACTTCATGTCCCCAGATGGGGAAAAACTCTGCTGATACGAACACAAACATTGTATTAGCATAGACAAAAGAAGAAATCATGCAGAATCCATTAAAGCAGCCACAACTAATTAATCTTGTTTGGTTTTGTGTTAATTGTGCTTCTGTTAAATGCTCTTAGAGACCAGGATAAATTTATGGGTTCTATCCTTGTTTAATGATAATTTCGCTATTTCTATTTTATAGGAAAGATGTTCAGAACATTGTGCAAGTAGAAGTATTTTCCCCCTAAGCTATTTAATAAAAAACACATGAAAAAACCAAGCAGAGTATCAGTAGTTACTTGTGCTCATGAAGAGATGCTCATGCTTCATCCTTTCAAGGTAGGCAAAGAACTTTGTTGAATTCTACCACATATCCCAAGATATTAACAGCAGATTAAAGATAAAGCATAGACTTGCAGAAACTCTTGTATTTCCTATGGAATGTTAAACAGAATTTTCTCCATTTGTAGTAGATAAACTGTACTAATCGCCCCAGTGTAAACTACAAAGAGGTCAACAATGCATCCTTTCAGGTCACCATTGTTTAAAAGGTGTTTGAGTTTCCCTATTAAGTTTTCAAAGGCCAACATCTGCTGATGCTCAGAAATGGTAGATGTGGTGACAAAGGCTGTATGGAGTGTGAAGTGAAAATACAACCATATAGTCCATGCAACACAGTACTAGGAAACTACAGCACAACCAAACTCCAAAGAGCTATTTTCCCATTCATCCCATTTCTGTTATTAGTTGCAGGAATATTCCTGAGAACAGTGACATAAACTTCTCTTTCCTTGAGCTCATTTTTTTAGTTATAAAATACATGTATAACCACAAGGCTTTGAAAATAGCATATCATTAGGCATTTGCAGTCACACAAATGCTGAAGGAGATACTATAGCTGGAAAATTACATTATTAAGATTGAAAGCTTTCATTTGCATGTTATTGTCATTGATGCTGTTTCACTATTTAAAGCTGCAAAACAGATGCCATGGCATTCAGCTGTTAACGCTGCTGTCATTTGCAAGGAGGCTAGTTTTGATAGTATTTAACTTGCTGTCTAGAGCTTAACAAATCAGCACCATTCATGAGCTTAAGTAAACTGAGCTGATTTACAATTTGAGAGACCTGACCCTGCATCATAAGAAGTGAGGCAGTTTTACCCAAATTATTAGAAGCTTTTCAGTTGGATACCAGGTATGGCAAATTGCATTTTACTACTGTGATACTTCATCATTTTGATAGTCCTGCATCACAGAAGTTATGTCTAAAGCAAAGCTGAGGCTGTGGGGAATATTTCAGTCAGCCACAGCAGGAACCATTTCTACCTGCCTGCTGTATTTGTAATCAGCTAACGTGTGGTGACTGTGTGCACTTCTCAGCTATGGAACTCAGCTAGACTCACAGCTGAGCTACTGTGCACTTAGTCCCTTCAAGTGTTTTATTTAATCTCTGTTTCATTGATATACTAGTTGTTTGCATAAACAATAACAAAACCATAACAGTGTTAAATGAAATATTTTTGTGCTCTATTTGCATACAGGAAAGCAGGTTTTTGTGAAGGAACACAAATCTGTTTATTTTGTGGGGTAAATCTCAGTTCATAGGCCGCTGGAGTTAATGCAAAGGTTCCAGCAGAACCTTTCATAAAAATGAAAACTTTTCCATCTCTAAACTCTTCCATTTGCTCTTTGAATTTACACACACACATACCTGCATGAAAATTAATGGTCCTATACTTCTCTGTTATTAGAAAACTTTTTTTTTTTTTTAAAAGATGGTCAACAAATATTTTCTGTGGTACAGCATCTTAATTCTCTGTATAATACTCAGTTTTATAGCACTCGGGTTGCATCTGCTGATCAGAAAATCTGAAGTTGAAGGCAGATGTGTTGTCAGGAGTGACATTCTCACTGACCACATAAAATGGTTACATGTTAATACAACAGAAGAATGCCAATACAAAGCCCCTGCACTACAGAGCACATTTTCAGAGAGAAAATTTAGAGAAACATTATCTACAACAGAAAGAGATGTTGGGAAATTAGATCCAGAAGCTGAATGACAATGCACAACAATACTGGTTTTATTACTTACTACCGATACTGGAAATACTGGGTATACCTGTAGAGAAAGAAAACACAAAAAAGTATAGTTAGCCGCTTTCTGTAGTTGGCTGAGCTATTACATCTAAGATCCTGAAAACAATTTTCTCCTAAATTTCAGAATATTGTATCAATACATAGTTAAACCCAAGCAACTGCCAATATGTACCCAGTGCTTTATAAATGCAGAGTCTTTCAGATTTTTCAGTACGAGGCTGCAGGGACCACTAAAATGTATTGACAGATGGGTATTTCTGGGACCTACACCAGCTCTCTGAACTTCATGAATTTGTTCAGAACAGTTTTGTATTTCAACTAACCAGCCATTAGATTTAATGTTCTAGATAAAAATATCAGTCATGCATGTATTATGCAGATCTAGGAGAATAATTTAACCAAGGAATAGATGCATTGCTAACAGCTTTGGCCAGCTGCTTAAATCAGTTGATACCTTCTGTTGCATTAACTGTATATAGCTTTTTTTTCCCTTCCCTCTTTTACCTGATGGTTATCTAAATTAAGCTATGGAAAAGAAAGGTAATTGAGCGAAACAATCTAATGCATTAGGTTGGTCATATTGACTAAACCCCTCATTGATTTTTTTTCTTCCCCCCCCCCCTCTTTCATTTCAATTCCTAAGATGAATTAATGCAAGGAAACCATTCCAGAGGCAGGGGAGATTTACCAGAAGAGGTGGGGCATCTGAGGATTAAAACTCCCCTGCTGGATTAGTAGTGTGGGATTTCATGTTGCATGATGCAGTCCCAACATGTAGCTTGTTGTCAGGTCTGCCCTGAAAGGTGTGTAGCGCAAAAATATGGACACGAAATATTACCTGAATTACCATTTTCTTTAGATTAAATGGCATTGCTAATGGCACTATTGCTAGTCTCTTGGGTTAAAGTCACAAATTGCAGATTGGTATTTAAATCCTGGATATTTGCATCCTCTTAGTTAAATACAGTTTGCCTTTTGTAAGTTTTATTGACTTTTGATGGCATGCATTTTACTGCAGAAATCTGTCTGTTTCTCCATTAAACATCTGCTATACTTCTTTCAACATCTATCTTGAAGTTCCATCTTACTCTGAGATGTAAGGACCTCATTCTGCAATTAAGCAAACTAGAGTGAAGGAATGTCTTGGGGATAAATGATATTCACTGTTAGCAAGGTTGTAGAGTCAAGTTGGGAATATTTCTATCTGGTGGCAGGGCTAAGACAATGCTGAAGTAATTGTATTTGCAGAATGGCGACCATAAACAGATCTTTTGTGTTTCACCACATCAGTCCTGGGGCACGTGTCAGAATTGCAGCTCTCTGGTTTCATATCCTATGGAACCTGTGGTCTGGCAGAGTGCCAGGCACTGCACTGGAGACAGCGCCTGCTGCTGATCCCCACGCTCAGATGTTGTTGGCAAACAATTATTTTTAATTCTGCTGAGATTAAAATGTATTTTCAAAAATTTTAGAATCATGAGGCATTAAAAACTAAATAAAAATATCATCATAATAGAACACTGTTGTTATAGTTCTAAAAGTAACAAAAAGTGCTTTTTCCAGTTAGGATAATGTAAGAGAAATTCTATCCCTTTGTCTTAAATGTCAAAAAGACAATCAATTCTCAAATAATTTTCCCTGAGTTTTCAATAGCAGTTTGTTTACATTTTTGCAAGTCATTGTAGCTGTTTTAAATTGGCAGGATTCATTTTCCTTTATACACTGATGGAAACTGCACAAATATTAGATAAAATATAGATACTATGTTCTCATACTCACACTTCCACTGTGAAATGGTATTTGTATTTCCTTTGGGTATACTCCCCCGCCTCAAACCTCTTTCTCTCCTACACACTCATACAAATATCCTTTCCCTTCTCTCCTGAACAGATTGTAGCAAAGGGAGAGGTTTTCCTGCAAGTCTGTTCTCCTCATTTTACTGTATTTCAAAATTTTCAATGCGTTCATAGTGATAAATGCTTCCTGGGCAGAGAATAATGAAAACAAGACACCTGCTAGCCTGAAGGGCTCTGCATTAACCTTGCAAAGTTGTCTTCAGGTTCTGTTTGAAAAGCTCTTTTTCTATTTCCATACCGAGTATCTGCGTTGGTGTCATCTTCTGTAACCAGCTCGATTTTTGTAATACCAGGTATCCCTGTGTGTGGTGACTGGCCTTGATAGTGCACTACTTTGTGTCCTTGCTGCTAAAGAGAGTGAGAATGGCATGTCTAAGTTTATTTGGAAAAGAGCTGGTTATGTAGGGCCATGAAGGAGGATCTATTAACACTCTGTGAAAACCGCACATATGATGGGAAAATTATTCTTAGTAAGAGTGTTTTTGCGAGATCTGGAGTTACATCTTGAGGCTAGCTCTTGAATTTAACTGAGCTGTACTTGGTGCAAGTCCTTAGGTAGTGAGCCCAGGAGGTGTGATTCTGCCTCTCCCTCTCTGTGCCTCAGTGTGGAGGCACATGGGGGCCTGACCGCACAGCCCCTCTGGTGGCACCACCGCCGGGGACAGCAACAGGCTGTGGGGAGTCATCTCACTGCTGCCACCCCTTTGTATGGAAACCAGTACATTACGTGACGTGGATCGTTTCCAGTCAGCCTTCTACTGAAATCTGTGAGTACTTTGCAGCAGTGAAATTATGTGAACAGGTTATAGAGAGAGATGAAGAATCAGACCCGTTGCTTCCCTTGATGAACAACACTGTTCAGCTATACATAGACAGTAAATAAAACAAAGTGACTGTATTTATGTATATTCAGTTGTTGAACCAAAGCAATGTTCAGTCTAAATTATCTTCTAGTTGAAATCCCTGGGATGGTTCTTAATAGTTTTATAGTGAGGAAACAGCAAGTAAAGTATGCAAAGAAAGTTCAGGGGCAGCTACTGCCCCCAGAATAGCAAACATTGCTGAAGAAAATCTCTATTTATTATTTTTGACTTGACTTGAGGATGGTATATTACATGTTCACTGTAAGTGCATCTAAATATACATGCATTACTTGAGAGAAAAAAATCTGGTGTTTTCCTTTCATATGATCTTCTGCATCTGCTCTGTAATTTTCTTGTTTCCTCTTTTTCCAGAAATGGGTTGTTTTAGCTATTAGCTACCATGGAGCTGACTATTGAGAATGGAGAAAAGGCAAATGAGATGCTAGCAAAGAAAACAAGTTTTTGATTTCTTCTAGAGTTTGAGTCAGTGTGAAATCTGTCACACAAAAGAACAGCATCAAGCTTTCTGTGAGAAGGGCCACATTGCTGCTTCCAGTCTCAGGGCAAGTCAGACCCTGCAGTCCCTCTTACGACCTCCATCGTCAATGCCTGTGTGTGCTTCCTGCCAGCAGCACAATTAATGCAGCCAGGCTTCATCTCTTCCTGGGCAGGGAGTATGTGTGGGATGAAGAAATTATTCTGTCAACTTGGTCTTGGCTACCATCTGTCCCATGGGCTTCTCTGCCTCTTCTCCATCACAAGTTGAACGTGCACCTGCCATATGATGGGGAGCCAGGGACAGACTCTTGCTGCTATCAAAACATTACACCCAGCTCGCTCATGTTCAGGGAAAAAGTGTCACCAAGAGCCCAGTGAATTATCCAGGTGAGGTGAATACAGCCCAGAGACTGAGAATTAAAACTGCCTCCCATGAAGTCATGGCAGGATGTGATAGTAAGTGGTTTGGATTAATATTAATTGCTGATCAAAGCTGTGTGAGAGCTTTCTGTCAAAAGAGATGTCCTTGTAATTGTACTTTACACTGCACGTTTCAGCTCTTAAACAGGAACAAAATATAGAGCTGTATTCCATAGCAAAGAGTCAGAGTACGGCTGTTAATGCCACATCTGATCTTTTGCTAGAATGTCTGTACTGCAGCACTCCTGCAGTGAGTGTCCCTTTGCAACTCCTCCTCTGAGGTATGATGGCAGTATCAGATCCTCAGCATCAGTTTTGGAAGTTCTGAATTCCCTAGTAATTTAAGCCCCGAGAAGCTGGGGGAACCTAGCATCTTGTAGTGTCCCTCAAAGGGAGTGATTGTTATGATCACAGGAGTAAACTTTTTGTGTATTTCCAAACCTGTATTCAACCAAAGGACCATACAAAGTGAAAGACACAATTCTTAGCAGATTTCACGTGTTTCATTGCAAAAGTCCTAGAATTTCTGCTACTGTTAATTTTGCAGTTGCTTGCTCTCTAAAGATTGAAAATTTTTCAGTTCCCGGAAAAAGAACTGCTTAGATGAAGTTTGTTATTTTCCACCTCTGCTTTCCCAAGCAGTATCACCACAAATAAATGGGACAGAGAAAATATTTAGTTATTGGTTTATTGGGTAGCACTTTTAAAATTTGGACTGTTTCTCACGATGTTTTAGTGACGCCAAACCACTTTTGAAAACTTTCTGTCTAGGAAACTCCTAGTGAGATCAAAGGATTTTTTTCAAGTAATCATAATTTATTGCTAGAATATTAAATATTAGAAACTTCAAAAAGATCAGACCATTTCTAGAACTTTGATTATCTTATAACAGACTCTTTGCCTGCTTAAGGACTAGAATCCTCTTTCATTGCTCCTCTTTACTGCATATGGCAAAAATAGAGTTGTTTGAAACCAGTGACGGATGAAAGCAATTCATTTCCCAGCAACAGATGCCACCATAACCAGCACAAACAACCAACTCAGCAGGGTCATGCAAGAGCATAGAGTGCTGAAGAATAATTTTTCAAGCCCCATTTAAAAATACAGCACGATATTTATAGTGCATTGTTTTTTAGGTATGTACCTGCAATGTTCTGCTGGCCATTGCACTGGATACCTAGTTGGAGGGAATTTAGTTCATCATTTGCAGGTTTTCCTGTCACTTCAGTCTTCCTGAATGCTCAATACACTACAGTTTTGACCCCACCACCAACTTTTTCAGCCTGACACAGCTTTTGTGTGACATCCTCCTGTGGCTTTACATATTCTTTAAGCTTCATGAGCCAAAATTAATGTGCAATATAAAATGAGACCAGTAAGAAGCT